CTTCGCATTATTTTCCATTTGCATATAGTGTTTGCATATCCAAATTGATCAAATATCCTTGCCGCCATGTCTTGAATCGAATGCCTCGTTACGTCACAGTAGATTTGATTTTGCAATTTGCATCAGTGCACTGATGCGAGCGCCCGCAATCTGCATGCGATGCATCGCTCAGCGGCCAAATCTAACGTGACGTAGGGCTCTAAAACAAGAGATTTGATGATGTCATGTTAGATTTCACGCGGAAAAGGACTCGGGACCGATGCATTTACTGATGCAAAATGGATGCCAATCGAATCTAACGTGACGTAGGTGATGCATTTTGCTTCAACTGTGACCATAGATTAAAGAATGAATAGATGGCTCACTCTTTTGATGTTTTTGACGCTGCCGACACGCGCGACTTCCGGTCGGCCGCCATTACTCTGGCAAGAACACCCCAGCAAGAACAATAATAAAATGTATTGTGAAATTGACATCGCCGCTACTAAATCCTAATTTTTTCCGCTCTCGGGGATTTGAATGGAAAGAATCGATCAGAATTATAAAAAGGGAAGGTAAGAAAACAATTTTGATGTTTTTATTTGCCAAGAAAACATTTCTTTGACTTGAAATACTTTATTTCTATTATTTGGCCAGATGGGCTCCGAAGAGTGCAGAGAATTTATATAACATGATTCGATGATAAAATATATACCCAAAGTGTTCACAGTTTTGTTTCAAAATTATTCTCTATTGTTTCCGTCTTAGCTTAGATTATTGAAATGGAAAACTGGTTACTGGACAATAGTTTTATCACTTTTATGGCTCTAAAATGCGAGTCATGAACTATATATATATATATTGTCTATAGTTCGCATGTCAAATTTATACTAGTATGCCCTCAGATACATGCTCTACGTTTTAATTTGAAAGCATTCCTGTTTTTCATAAACCATAACCAGTTCTGTAAATGTTTTACAAGTGTACAACTTTAATGTACTTTTTGCTCTTTCTTTTAGATGGAGATGCCAGTTTTCTGTTTTCAAATTTAATTGTGTAGTAAATTCTCATCCTGAGGAATAACTTCAACATATAATCTTTTGGGAATTCTTGGCAGAACTTGAACGCAACAGGCACACTTTGTAGGCTTTTCAGCAAATGAGCACCAACTAATGTGGATGTGGTATAGATAGAAAATTGTTGGACAAACATGTCTTCCAGGTGCAGAACAAAGTCAAGGAAGGGCTGTGATGGTAGTATCAGTCCTGAAGAGCTAGTATCATCTCTGTAGTTCTTGAAATGACAGAACAGCAATGAGTCAGATTCAAGATCCTTGGATGTCATGCTATCTTTACACGAGGAACAATCATGGACACGGAAACATTTCTTAAGTAGATATCCAGCTACATATGCCACAGCATTTTGTTGTACCATACTGGAGATTACTTCATTCTCTTTGTAATCTGTTTCTCCAAGTACCAGTGTTTGTGGTTGTTGATTTATCCTGACTAGAACAGGTTTCTTGGACTTGCTTGAGAACTGAGATAGAAGTACATCCAAATCTTCTGCACAGTTTCCAGAGTCGCAGGTGAAAAGGGAGCTAAAGAGAAGTTTTCTGAAGGCTCTTATGAACTGTGTTGGTGTGGGGTTATCGCTATTCCCTCCTTGCTGCCTAATTGTCCCAAAAAAATTTTCTATAGGATCTGTATTTAACCTACGTGTGAATAAGAATTTGAAATTATGATTGTGTTGAAGATGTTTCCAGATTGAAATGATTGCATTTATAGTGATAAGCCATCCTTTAATGCACTTGATTCTACCTGTTACTTCTTTGTTGCCTTCAAATACTTTTAAACTTGCGATGAAATCAATGGCTTCATTAAAGAAATTAACATGATTGGATGTTTCAGTGATGGGTGTCTTAAGTTTCTTAGGTGAATGAAGTTTGGAACTGTTGACACTGTCAAATAAGGTGTCAAATTTTAATAATAATTCTGCTGTACCCATTGCACTTGTTGGTAATACACCTAAACTAATGTATGTGCATAGTGAAGCTGCGACTGTGTGACTCAAGACCTGTGTGGCATACTTAACTTTCATTTTGTTAAAGTTATTTGGGTGGATATGCTTGTCTGTGAGTTTGTGTGCAGATCTAATTGGAAGTTCCTTATCTTTGTTATAAAATGCTTCAATATCTTTCCAGCTTGCAACAAGATTTCCGAACTTAAATATGTATTTCATGAGGTTATTTCGTATGCACTTAATTAAATGTGGGGGATCAAACATCAAAAAGTAGACTTTGTTATTATGGGTGAACCAAGGCTTCTCAGGAGTGATACCAAGATGTAGAGCTAAGCTGTGGAAATTTGAACCCATATCGGACATCACAACAAGTACTCTTAAACCAATACCATCCAGCTTTTCAAGAAATGCTTCTGATCAAGAGCGCAAGGGCAGATGTGGCAATTTTCTTACTTCTTACTCCGTTACCAAAGTCCTCCAATCCAATTATTTTGTCATCAGGAACACTGTAGTAAAGGTGACTTTTCAATGATATCTCATCAATGCAAAGGGTACAAATCTTTTCCATGTCATTCATATGAAGAACCTTTTGTTGGATTGCTTTAAGTATCTGTTCTGATATGCCAGATGTAGTTGGAATATTTGAAATGAATCTTTTTAATGATGACTTGCTTGGTAAGATGAACAACTTTGACAATATTTTGTAAGCTTTGCCACTTGCATGATACAAGGACAATGCTATTGTCTTCATCTCTGGTGAGTATCTGCGTCCCTTACTTTTTTTGGAATGAAGACTTATTTGATCTCTTATGAAGTTCGCCATGTTTGGTGGTAGTTGTGACAAGGCTTGGTCAATTGTTCTCTCCCTCTTTGATTTTCTTTTTGGATTCAATCTCTTTTTTGGATTCAATTTCTTTTTTAACTTTTTGATCTGATCATTTTTTGACTTTATTGTCTGTTTTAGCTTCTTTTTACGAGGAGTGTCAGATGTAATATCTGGACTTGTCTGGCAGGTACCATCTTCAGTCTCTGGATTTATTACATTGGCATGGGTTTCTATTTTAAAAAATTAATTATTAAAAAAATAATTTATGCATAATACACACGTAAAAATCTCACAACTTGTCAACAGGATGTGTTTGCAACAGGCTTGCAGCAAGTTTGTCAACAAGTTGTATCAATGTTGATATTTTATCAAGTTGCTTCAAGGTTGTCACTCACAACTTGTTGACAAATTGTTGAATTGGAGGATGATAACAAGTTGTCAGAACAACTTGTAACAAGTCTGTTGGGCTCAGCAACCTTGTAGCAAGTTGTCAACAAGCCAACAACTTGTCAAGCTGGGAACAAGCAGTGCGAACACATCCTGTCGACAATTTGTTGGAACAGCATTACTACAAGTCTGCTACAGGTTTGTTACAACTTGTGCGTTTTTACGTGTGTATGTTGAAATTACACATGTTGTCAAGAAAATTATACAATATTATAATATACCGTCAATGTTTTCACGAATTAAATCTTCGTTTTCTCCTTGTACTTCGTCAACTTGTAAATCATTTGCTATTTTGATAGATATAATTTGTCAATAAAATATATTAAACAGCTCTAATTTTTTTGCAACAGTCAGTGGGCATACTTACATTGTGTTGGACATGTGTCCTTTTCCTTTCTTGCTCTTTTTCCTATTCAGAATTATGGGTTGATTAAACCACGATTAAACGAACGTTTTAACTATATTTTAGCTGTGCTTGGCGTCATCATAACATATATGATAATATTACAACTTTTTGTATCTTTTTATTTACCTGATGACGGAAGTGCCTCATTGTTTCTTGTTATTATTCGACGTTTGCAACCCAGACTCGGTGGAGGATTTTGCACGTTGAAAATACTTGGTTTTGCTTTATCATTCAAACGATTTTTAATAGTCGGATTGACGAACATACAATCTTCGAAATGCTCAGAACATAGTTTGCAGTTGGCGTATAAATACTTGGGGGTTTTATTCAAAAGGTCTTCACGTCGACATGCGACAACCCACTCTTTGGATCTACGAGAATTCATTATAAATTGTTTATATGTTGAAAACAACTGTGTATATGTTTAAAATAAAATCTTTAATATCTAAATTCATTTAAATTAAAGAAAGAGACGTAATTTGAAACTCAAAACACACATTGGAATACAACAGTAGTCTTACCTCTTTGTGTCTGATGGAAACCGAAAAAAGCTCAGATTTGGGTGCGATCCTTTGCTGTTAGAACAATTGCAAGCAGAGCAATGAACTCTTGTTCCCCCAGGCTTAAGTTTTCGTTTTTTAGATTGTGACATAGCAATAACAATTAGAACTATTCGAAAAAAGTATAAGCAATTGAATTTCATCTGTCAAAAAAGCACGTGTAACCGAAAGTATCACAAAAAGGTCAGAGTTAAACGACTTCACAGGTTCCGTCGAACTGTATGTAGATATTTTACATCGAGACAACCTGAATCTCACTGAGTTGTGAGTTTTTCTCTTATTTATATTATATTTTTTCAAGAAAGCTAAATTACTGTATGATCAATTAATAATATGCCAAACCATCTGTTGTTGTTAAATAGCGAGTCCTCTCCATATTTACAGTTTATAGATTACAGTTAGTTAAAATTTGCGTAGTTGTATATTAGAAAAATATTTGAAAATAAAATAAAAAGTGAGTGTTTGAAACAGAGAACTATAACAATTCCTGAAGTCCATATTTATATGGTAATCTTGATTATAAACTGTGATTCAACAAAACCATTTACAATAATATATCACCAGTTTAATGTATATTTCTATCTAAAACACAGTACAATATCCTCCTTGATAATGTTGATCCTTGTTTTAAAACTGGTCACAAGCATTTTTCACTTTCTTGCAAGTTCAAGTCTCCAAAAAAGCCATTTTATAAAGGTCAATCACTAAATCCTTCACCAAAGTATTGTTATTTTGGAAAGCAGATTATCAAAGAGCAAAGTAAGTTCTTGTTTTCCTTATGCATGTGTAACCAAATACTTCTTTCAGAAATGTTTCAATGTCTATGATTCTTCATTATAAGAAACCATGTTATCTAAGGATATAAGAGCTGACATCTTCAGAATTGATATTGCCACATCAGCCCTTTAGATTTGATTTGCATCTGGAAGAAGTGTTTGTTCTACAATTTTTTGTTTATACCAAATCCACATATAGTTGACCTTTTTGCTGAAGAGCATACAAATTAAAGTGTCCATGTCGCATTCAAGTGCTGCCAGACAGCCAGAGTTCCCAAAATATTATATATTGAAGTAATTCCTCAAAACTGGCATCTCCATCTAAAAGAAAGAGCAAAAAGTACATTAAAGTTGTACACTTGTAAAACATTTACAGAACTGGTTATGGTTTATGAAAAACAGGAATGCTTTCAAATTAAAACGTAGAGCATGTATCTGAGGGCATACTAGTATAAATTTGACATGCAAACTAAATATAGACAATATATATATATATAGTTCATGACTCGCATTTTAGAGCCATAAAAGTGATAAAACTATTGTCCAGTAACCAGTTTTCCATTTCAATAATCTAAGCTAAGACGGAAACAATAGAGAATAATTTTGAAACAAAACTGTGAACACTTTGGGTATATATTTTATCATCGAATCATGTTATATAAATTCTCTGCACTCTTCGGAGCCCATCTGGCCAAATAATAGAAATAAAGTATTTCAAGTCAAAGAAATGTTTTCTTGGCAAATAAAAACATCAAAATTGTTTTCTTACCTTCCCTTTTTATAATTCTGATCGATTCTTTCCATTCAAATCCCCGAGAGCGGAAAAAATTAGGATTTAGTAGCGGCGATGTCAATTTCACAATACATTTTATTATTGTTCTTGCTGGGGTGTTCTTGCCAGAGTAATGGCGGCCGACCGGAAGTCGCGCGTGTCGGCAGCGTCAAAAACATCAAAAGAGTGAGCCATCTATTCATTCTTTAATCTATGGTCAAGGCACAGGGGGCCCCACTATGAGTTATGATTGAAATAATATTGTATTTATTTTTAAAAACCTACTTGAATCCCTTGATAATCGATTATTTCTTCTCTCGAAATTCTGTAAACATTTTAAACTGCTTGAATCATTATACTATCACTCTACATGACGTTTCATGAAGTATAGATGATCGCTGACAAGTACACGCGTAAAAATTGATCAGGTTGTTGCAACATTGTTCACTGAACAACGTTGCAACAATGAGGTTATCATGGCTGAACAACGTTGTTCAAGCGACAATCGTTAACAACATTGTTCCAACAACTTGTTCACGCTTGATGAACGAACAATGGTTGTTGCAACATGATGGAACAAGCGTCAACAAGGTTGATGAAACATGCTTGATAAATGTTGTGAGAACAATGTTGTTCAGCGTTGTTCATTCATCAGGCGTCAACAATATTGTTCGAACAAGCGTGAACAACATTGATGAAAGAACAAGTTGTTTTTAGTTGTTCGAACAACCGTGAACAGCACTGTTATAAATAGACGGTAAAATAATGATTTGAACAACACGAAAACGTGTTTTTATTGGTTGTTGCGAACCGCTGGGATGCAAAACGGACGAATGCCACGAATATCACGAGAGCAAGAAATCAAACGGGCTTTTACAGCAAAATAAATGTCGTTTAAACTTTGTGGTTTTTTCTGAAGATTGAGGGGAAAATACTGAAGAAAATAACTTGGTAAGTGTCTTGTTTTGAGTTAAGGTTAGTTGTAAAAGCTTAAAACAACCCGACCTTTTGATTTTAGTCATTTTCATAGTGCACGACGAAGAAATTACACGCACAAACTTTATAGTACTTTTATATAGGCATTGCATTTTGATATTTTTCTCTATATTTTCAGTATATATGAAACAAGAAACCACGGTCATACTGTAATAAAAGCCGTCAATAAAACAAAACATTTAATTCTCAAATTTTTCCAATTACACTCTAAATTTCTGTCAGAGTCTTTTTAACTTTGAAATTTGATATGTCAAAAACGCTATCATATCATCACTGCTATATATATAAACAATTCCTATTGTGTTTTAACAAGGTCAACCAAATACTTGATCAGTTTACACACCAAGAATGATGTATTTACTGCATATAATATGTGATGGATAGATTATAGGTAGGTAGGTAAGAGTGCATACAGTTAAATAATTAGCCATTTCTCATATTTCCTCATAGTTTTATTTCCTGGTTAAGCAGGTGACTATAATTGTCATGGAAGGTATGAAGGAGGTAGCTATGATTTTATCACATGGCTATGGGGGATGATTATGACCATTATTATGCTCAAATGTAATTATTGTCTCATTTTTATCCCTTTTGTAGTGTAAACTTAAGTATAAAAATAAAGATTTATGAATATGTCAGACAAATTATATAAAATGGGTGATCACTTGGTAAGTAATTTTTATACCTTTGTTGTGGTCTGTGTAGATGGAGGCTATTTTGGCAATAGCCATGCACTTAGACATAGCATGACCAGTCCATATGTGGACTGCCTATGTCTATTAAACATGATTGAATACCCAAATTAGATTCAAGATTATGATATGTTCCAGGCATGGATCCAAAAATGACCATGTACTGAAGTTATATGGCATGAGCCATGTAAAATATGGTGGGAAACATACAATTGGGGCTGCATCCCATCATAATGCACTAGTCAATTGAAACCGCGACCCCCGGGATAGGGAGGGGAAATTCACATTTTGACAATGTTAAATTTTGGACATTTCCCTGCTACCGGGAGAATATTGACTGTTAAAATTACTGTCTCTATGGCCCCAGCACTTTGCAAATGTTCATGACTTGGGAAATTTTCATGACTTGGGAATTGTCCTGGCTAATAAATTGACTTGTTATTTACCCTGTACCCCGGGGGAAATCTGCATTAAGACCGTGTTAATCCACGGCCATTCCCTGTTAATTCCCCACCCTGTCCCGGGGGTTGGGGGTTTCAATTGACTAGTGCATGCATAAACATTGCAAAGGTCCATTTTGTAAATTAATGGCACTATGTATTTAATCTTAATTTATAGGGCCTGTGAGTTCATATCTGGAATAAAATAATGGCAATTCTACAGAAATATCACTGCTAAGGAGTGTCAAACAAATTCAGGAGGACTGAATTAACTGGATGTTCTCAGGATGCAAAAGAAATTGTTGACTTTAAATGAATAATCATTATCATTAATGTAAGGTTAAAAATATTGAACATTCAAAAGGATGCAAACAGAAAGTTGAAAGTAGGGCCTGAATTTCAGGTTAAGTGATCCAGGAATGGGGTTGGCCCTCTGCAGGCTAAATCAATTGAGGGAGATCCCTTTATTTCAAGTTAAATGATTATTTGAATAAGATGCCATTCAGGCAATAAGGGCCTGGTTAGGTCCATATTTTAATTCAAATTATTAAGTACTCGATTTATCCATCAACAAAACCCAACATTAAAATTTCCATCGAGTGTGATGCAACAAAACCATCTATAGTTTATTAATTATGTTAACCTAACCCATCAACTGGCAATGAGCCTACTTTAGTATTTTATATACTCTAATTTGCCCATTGTATTTATAAACTGACAGTTAATACTATTACTCTTTCACATACTAATAAAATCATTTGGGCCTGGTTGTTCGAAGCCCGTGTAAGCCTTTGAACTACCGGCCCCAGATGATTTTATTAGTCTGTGAAAGATTAATTATTAACTGTCAGTTTATAAATATAATGGGCAAATATATGATTATGTAAAAATTGCATGCATGGTTCATAAAATCTCTGTGATAGACTTACTCCAACAGATTCAAATTCCATCCTGACAATACCTAAATAATAATTATAGAGCTTGCAGTGTTGCACTACCTTTTGCTAAAATACTGCCATGGTTTACCAGTATTTAATATGAACTCAAAAGTCAAAACACTTAACAACACTATGAAGTATTTAGATTTATAAATAGTACTTAGTATTTTATAAGCCTTAATTGCACATAAAATAGTTTATAGTTATCTTACCTTTGTACTTCTACTGTAATTATCTCTTTAGTTTGTATTTGTTCACTAATCTGTATTTTCTTATTTCAAAATAAACTGAATTTCATATCAAGAAGCAAAGTTTGTCTGTTTGTGTGCTTATTTAAAGGCACAGTTCAGCCTTCTGAGTGATGGTTTTTATGGCGCATTACAAGACTTTTAATTGAAAAAACTAACTAGGAAAATCAATTAAGCATAATTCAAAATCAGTGAACTCAATGTTAAAAAAACATTAGGTATGTTTAAAAATAGTAAAAACATTGAAATCACTGATCTTGAATTGTGCTTAATTGATTTTCCTAATTAGTTTTTTCAATTAAAAGGCTTGTAATGCGCCTTAAAAACCATCATTCAAAAGGCTGAACTGTGCCTTTTAATTTCTCTCCCCCCCTGGAAAATGGCCACGAATAACAGCGTCGAAAACGATTGATATCAGGCTGTTTACGTATTGATAAAACAAGACTGTTCGCAGTTGTTGACAATATAAAACATCATTGATATCAGGTTGATCTCAGTTGTTCCAACAACGTTGTTGAGGCCTTGTTCGTTCATCAGGCGTCAACAACATTGTTCGAACAAGCGTGAACAATATTGTTGACAACATTGCTGCAAGTGGGCCGCACAATATTGCAGCATCCTGTTCAGAACCAAGTTGCAGCAACTTGTTGACAACTTGCAACAACATGATGATTTTTACGCGTGTACCAGGCCCCGCATCACACGTCGATCAGCGAAATCACTGGCGTTGCGCCGCCCTATATATAAGCGCCCTGGTGTACATCTTTCGTTTCAAACAATAGATAATTCAATTGAAATTCCGATCTGTAGACCCAATGTAAACAAAACACGCGCATAAGTAGAACGAACTTGACAGCCTCTTTAAACGAATTCAGATCATATTTTGTAGTCTTTTGTTCTTTGGGGAAAGAATTTTCTACACAATCACCCCGAAACCTTTGCAAAACAAAAGTTTTCAGTCACGACCGTGCATGGGCCGTTACGTAATGGTCCCTGGTTGAGCAGCCAATCAGAATGCTGGATTTGTGATAGTGAGACACAGGTTGAGTGTATGCTATTGTGTAATATTTTTAGTACCCTGGAAGAGGAGGTATAAGCGCATATAATTGATAATAAAATTTACAAGATATATATAATATTGAGATGTTTTGAATCTTTATAATTAGAAACTTCGAATGTATTTCGTATTTGATTTTTTCTATTTTGCCTGCATGCCAATGGATTCGTCTCACTTTTCTTTTCATTGTATAAAATTTTGAGCACAACATGTTCTGGTCATATCGTTTTAGTCCATTGACAATTGACTCATTAAAGGGATATGGCAATGAAAATAAACTTTGCCTTATTTGAAAGAACTTTTAAAGTTATATATGAAGACCCTTTAGTCCCTTTACAACTTTTTCGTACCTTGCTTGGTTTTCGAAATATTTTGACCAAAAACATTGTGCAGTCCGCCATCTTGATATTATAATTAACCTAATTAATTGAGTTTTTGATGACGTCACAAGCCGGGTAAACTAGTTAAAACTTTCTTAGTACTAAAAAGACTTGACATGTGGTTTGCAAGATAAAAATTTCGCTTTTTACCCTGCTTGTGACGTAAACATATCGAATGCATATCCAAGATGGCGGAATGCACGCTGCTTTTGATCAAAATAAGTCTATTTATTTCGAAAACCAAACAAAATACGGAATAATTGTAAAGGAAGTTTATACATCATTTAAAATGTTCTTTCAAATAAGACAAACCTTATTTATATTACCATATCCCTTTAAAAAAATCGAGAGTTCGTCTTCTGGAATCACTTAAGTCGGCGACGGCAATTATGCAAATTAGGTAAAATGATTGGAAATGCATAAAAAATGTAAAGAATTATTGTCGACCATGTTGATCACTTCTAAGTTCAATTTTTAAAATTAAATACTGTTCCTACAAACCAACAATTTGAAGACTTTTTCATTTCACGGCATTTTAACTAATTTTTATATCAAACTAAATCTTTATTGTTATAGACACTACAAATTATCAGTTTAAGTGTAGGCAGGCGAGAATTCTCTTTAATTAAAAATCTTATTTCAAAAGCCTAACATGCAATTGACCTGATTTCCGTAAATTGAACAGGAGGAAATATTAGTGTCGCCACCTTAAGTGAGTTTAGAAGACAAATTATTGGTTTCAGTCAACGTGAAATTTATCATCTTTCATTCTTAAAGCACTCAATATGCAGTTCTCAGCTTTTAGCTCAACTGTTCCTGCAAAGCCCTAGCCCCATTCTAAAGCTATTTGTCATAAAATGTTCACTAACTGGCAAGACTTGAGCTTTGTGGGAGAATATATACACATTATGGTAGCTAGTCATGGAAAGTAAAGGCCTGGGTCTAGGCTGAAGTTCATGTATATATACAAAACGCATGCCATTTGTCGATTATTGTCAAAATAAACTAATTATCTCCATATAAGGACATGGCAGCTTCAAATCTCGAGATGTTTTGAACACAAAATATATTATCAAGACAAAGAAGATATAAGGTGTTGTCTCATACTGAAAGTAAAATTGGCGCTTTCAAGATCAATTTGGTGCAAAATATCTTCACAAGTTCTCTATTTTGGTAAGTCTCATTTTATAGCTGTTTTAATATTTAACTTGTTCATAACAAATCCATACACAAAGAAAACAACTGACTGATCTTTGAGATATTGATACAATAACTCGACGGATATAGAACAGCGAACTATAGATCAGTAAATGTTGTGAATTTATACTCATATCCTCTACCATGAAATAATAAAACCTAACCGCCAAATCCATGTCGGGTTAATAGCTCAAGAGATAAAGCGGCGATTAGATTTCAGAAGTTGCCGAGAATTTAAGTGTTGCAGGGTACTATTAGAGGCTCACCAACAACATATGTCGGCATATGTCAGTTATAGAACACTGCCTTAAATGTCTGGGTAACTCCAGTAAACGACTGCTTACCTAGCTGTTAAGTTATCAAGCTTAGATAGGTCAGTGGGGAGTTCCAATCCTTTATAAATACACAAGATTTATGCTCTCAACTTTAACAAATCTAGCTAATTGCTCTGCCTGTTGTATACTCATACAAGTCCACTCTACCGAGATTGGCGTCGAGTTCTTACCCTTTTCAAGAATACATTGCACTTAAACTCTCAACTTTAATCAATATTTAATCAAACTGCCCAGATTAGTGTTGCGTTCCTAGCTTTGATACCTATACACAAGATTTACTAAAGTCTTCACTTCAGAGAATTTAGTCCATTATTTCACTTCGCTGGCTGTGATGTCCACACTGGCGCTCAAATTAGTGTTAGTCGTTGCCCTCTATACATATAAAAGTTTAGTTTCTCAACATTCGGGAATATAGTCCCACAGGGGTTGGTGATAAGTTAATCTGAACGAGAACAAAATGCCAAGTGTGCAGCTAGGGGCTTCCCTTGGAAAATCCGAAACTTAGGCTAAAATTCTATTGATCTATTAAAATGAACATAGTTCAGCATTAATGAGGAAAACTTAGGCAAAATGCCAAAATCGAATTTAATTAATTCCACAGTAAAGTGCTTAAAGCCAACTTAACTTTTCGCTGAGTGTAAACTATTCATATTTTATACTGTCCAACTAATGAAACATTTACATTACAAGATAAACTGCTGTTTTAATATAAAATTTAAAACTAATTTGTACCCTTACAAAAATTCCACATGATTTCACATGTGTGAAATTTCACATGTGAATTTGGAACATGTGATTTTTCACATGTGATGTTCCAAATTCACATGTGAAATTTCACATGTGAAACACATAATTTCACATGTGTTCACATGTGAAAAATCACATGTTCCAAATTCACATGTTCCAAATTCAGATGTGAAATTTCACATGTGAAACTTCACATGTGAAACACATAATTTCACATGTGAAAAGTCACATGTTCCAAATTCACTTTCCAAATTCACATGTGAAATTTCACATGTGAAACTTCACATGTGAAACACATAATTTCACATGTGTTCACATGTGAAAAGTCACATGTTCCAAATTCACATGTTCCAAATTCACATGTGAAATTTCACATGTGAGACTTCACATGCGAAACACATAATTTCACATGTGTTCACATGTGAAAAGTCACATGTTCCAAATTCATGTGGATTTTTTGTAAGGGTATTTTAATTAATAATAAGAATCAACAAACTAACCGAAATGCAAGCATATACATACATATTCATACTGTCATATCATACATAATCAATCAATATCTCCGGGCTTAGTTAACTAGCTTCAAATAATTTTTGGAGTTAGCAACACAGCAAGTAACTTCAGGCTTACATACCTAGCGGCTGGCTCACCTCACTACACATAATTTTTGGAGTTAGGCAGTTAGCCCGTAACCCAAAGCTTAGATACATAGCTTTTTCATGATTTTTGGAGTTATACCTAGCTCCAAATAATTTTT